AGGTGGGGCGGCGGGGGGCCTGCGGGGTTGCCCCAGTAGCGCCTGTGCTGCCCTGCTGCCGGAGCCCCTCCGCGTCTTTGCTCCGCGTCTTCCTGGTCTGCAGACCAGGGAGACGCGGAGCAGCTTTTCTCGCCCCGGAGTACACGGGCGGCGGGACTGCGAGGTCCCCCAGTCTGTGTCCTCCGGGGCGAGAAAAGCCCCGTTCGTACCTGCAAGTCGGGGACTGCCTGTATGTTTATACCCGGCGTATAAGACGACCCCCGATTTTTGGGGGATGTTTTTTAGTATAAAAAGTCATCTTATACGCCGGAAAATACGGTAACATTAATCCATCAGTCATGGTTTTGTGTTCTGTATTTACTTACTTAGTCCATTGCCTTCATTAAGTAACACAGCAAAACTTGAAGAGCATCTTCTGCTTTATTAGGTGTAAAAGGGATGAATGAGATTGCCTCCTTCAAGTGATATTTCACTGACCCTCTCTTATAAAGAAGTCTCATTTTATTGTCATTAATGGAAACTTGGATCTGTTTCACTTGAATGCAGAACCTTGAATGGAATCTTGAAAGTCACACTGTTGACTAATATACGCTGGCTACATATATATATATATATATATAATTAATATGCATTTATTGCACCACATGTACATTAATATGCATTAAGCATCAATAACATTGGGCTACATCACTGCTTAAAATGTCTTGCCCCATAATCTTGTACACTAATGCTAAAGTATTCCATAGCTGTATTCCATTCCTTTCATTTGCTGAAGTAAGCATTCAGAATGAAACTATCTCGACTTTGACACATTTCCTATATCTTATTAAAATATCTGGAATGTTAATATCCACAATGATGATAAGGAAGGAACAGGACACGTTAGGGAACTGGAGCAAACAGTTTGATTTTAGTAATGTGTAAAGAAACGTATATCTTGTAAAACCATATAAATAATGCCAGCTGAAATATGTAACTGGAGGAGAGGGGGTCACGCTTTCTTCATAAAGGTAAATGAAAGATCCTTGCATGTGACTGCTCTTTGGAAACTGGTATCATACAGAACCTTTTTCTTGTACCATATTAATAAACTTGACTGACCTTTGTTATTTGGTCCCAAGTATATTTCATGATAAAATAATGTACCAAAGCACGATCAAGCAACTCACAAAACAATTTATCAACACACACAATGAATTCTTGTTCCCAAGACTTTTACGTTTTTCTAAGATTACCACATTGCTTGCATCCATTCACTTCTGCTTCCCATTACAACTATCACTGACAGCTTCCCTACATTTACACCAGTGTAACTACAAATGGGTTTGTTTACACGGGTGTAGATATGGCGGTGCAGTTAGGCCAGTGTCAATCACTAATGCAGACACTGTGCACTGATGCGAATCAGAGGTTGCAGCAGTGCAGCTTACCCTGGTAACTTGCAGCTACACTGGATGAAACTAACAAAAACATTCTCTGCAGGGTTGAATGTCAGGTCCTGTCTGTACTGGGGAGTTGCACTGATGTCGCTACACTGCTTTAGTAACACCGGCGCAAGAGAATTTAGTGCGGTAAGATTGAGAGGAAAACATAAGTCAAGAGACCCCCACTGGCTTCACTGGGTGCAGGATCGGGCTCACATGCAAAATCTGGGATTAGTTAGCAAAGCCAAGTCTCTTTCACCCTAGACCAGTGGGGTCTAGGAGCACTGTGGCATTAAGTCATTCAGCATCAAATTTTGTTGCACGTCCCTCTGACAAACAGCATTGATGGGTATCAGCAAATGCTTGTCAACCAAGGAAGGCTGGGAAAGGAATGCAAGCCAGAGTTGGGGACAGTCCTCTGCTGATTTGGCGGGCGGTTGCGGAGGGGGGGGGGGTACTTGAGGCCTCCCCAATCAGATTTTTGCAGCAGAAAACATTCAAGAGCCAAAAGATCATCATCGTTCTAGAACCTCCATTTACTCTCAAAGAAGCATATGCACCTGCACACACAGCTCAATCAGCTTAATCTAGGAAGTGCAACATACTCGGTGGTGATGAGACTATAGGGAGAAAGGGAGTGTTGGTGGGTAAAGGACATTTGTTCTGAGTGTGTGATAGCAGCATTTCATATCATTTGACTGGACTTGTAGGGTATTTCTACACAGCAATTAAACACCCAGGCTGTGTCTAGACTGGCATGATTTTCCGGAAATGCTTTTAATGGAAAAGTTTTCCGTTAAAAGCATTTTCAGAAAAGAGCGTCTAGATTGGCATGGACGCTTTTCTGCGGAAAACAAATCTGAGCTTTCTACACTGGGCCTTTTGCGCTAAAGGACTTTTGGAAAAGTTCTGCACAAAAGGACTTTTGCCTGAATGGGAGCAGCATAGTATTTCCGCAAGAACACTGACAATCTTACATGAGATCGTCAGTGCTTTTGCGGAAATTCAAGCGGCCAGTGTAGACAGCTGGCAAGTTTTTCCGGAAAGGCGGCTGATTTTCCGGAAAAATTGGCCAGTCTAGACACAACCCCAGAGTTGGCCTTATTCTGCTAACTTAGGCTCACCAGACTTGGGGTGCATGGCTGTAAAATTTGCTGTGTAGACATCTGGGATCATCCTGAAGTCAAAGCTCTTGGACCCAACAAGAATTGAGGATCACAGAGCCTGGGCTCCAGACCAAGCCCAAACATCTACACAGAAACTTCTAGTCCCACAGCCCAAGTCCAGGTCGGGTGACCCAGGCCAGCTGCGGGTCTTTTATTCCAGCATAGATATATCTCCTGTACCTTCATAATGCTCAGAGTTGTATGCAGTATAACTGTATATTGTGCTATTTTAAATATTCTCAGCAAAGAACATCAGCTCTGGTATGAGCATGCCAGGGGTTACCTGCAATTTCGTTCCAATGCCTTTAGTTCGAGATACCAAGATAGGATCATCATAACCGGACGTTTTCAAGTCAAAGAGATCAGGAGATCCTCCCAGCTCTGCATGACTGCCTGCCAAGTATAAAAAATGATGGGGACAATGTGTAGGTAATGCTAAGGGAAGAAGAAACTAGTATTACCAATGAAAATCTCTGGAGCTTGAACAACTTATTACTGGTCCCACTGATTAAACTAGAAACATATACAATTATAAGTAGTATAAATGCTGAACTCATGTATTTCATGTTGTGATAGCTAATTTACAGCCAAATATTTTACAAATTACAATGTATTTACAGCAAAAACCAACGGTGATTAGTATTTACCAACTGATCCCTTGTTAGCTGATAATCTTCCTTATTCTACTTTCCAAACTAATTATGTAACAGAAAACCTTCCCCAGACCATATGACTATTGCTAACAAAATGGTCTGAACAGAAGACTTCAAATTAATTAGCAAGATCACAGATACCTGTCTGCATATCATATGCTGCTAAAAACAATATGTGAAGTTGGTTAGGAACTTCTGTAACAGTTTTCCAGTAAAGCTGGTGGCAAGGGTTATTATACTACAAGTCTAGGGCAATAGTTCCCAAACTTCATTGGGAACTTAAAAATCAATGGTTCAACAATTCACTTCCCAGCAAGTTTTCATTCCATATGTTCTCCTTGTCTAGTGTGTCAAGGTCATGCCAGGGATTTACTGAAAAAGAATGTAATTCCCCTTGTTTAACTTAAGCAGTTGCTTTAACAAAGAAGGAGGAGGCAGAACAAAATGAGAATTCTCTTTGATAAAGACAATTTAAGCCCTGTTTCAATTATGCACAAGTGCTATTGCTTCATTAAGTGACACCAATGCCAGGTCTGCTCATTTCCTTGAAGGAATTGAGATTTCATTCGAAATAAAAGAAGTATGCAGAACTGTTCTATTCTTACCTGATCTACAACCATTTGCAGTTGGTGGTTCGGACTTATTAATCCAAGCACCGCTGGTTATAGTGTCTACATTTAGGTCATCATGTAGCTGTCCTCTGAAAGAAGAAAAAGGGGGCACATTTGTGATTATTGTCGAAGCAAAAGCCTCATTCAGTTTACGCGGCTAAACAGACAGTTTTATTGGCCAATAAAAGCAAAGTGAGCCAAACGTGGTCCCAGCAGAGCCAGGCCCAGTGAGGCTGGCTAATACAATTAATCCTAGTATTTTATACTCTTAACCAAACAAGTCTGATGTCAGGGCAATAAATCAAAGAGAACTTCAAAGAGGAATTATTATCAGCAGAGAAAGAAACAGGTTTAGAGGGAGTTCGAGCTTCAGCTCAAAATAGTTCATTAACACATTCCAACAGCGCATCCTTCTGGCCTCTCCCCACCTCGGTGAAGGCCAGTTCACTCCCTCTAGTATACGTGCAGACACAAGAAACTGAAATGGCTTTTGTTATACAGAATGGCTTCTAGCTAAATATGAAATGGTTTCTACATTATAATGACATTTTCTGCATTAACTGTTCATCACAGAATCAGAACAGGAATGGCTTTGAATGAGACAAGTATCTATTTTTTCTAGTGCCCTTGCTTACATACTCAGACTGTTGGAAGAAAGCTATAGCTGAATAACCAATGTCCTTTCTGTAAATGGCACCCTTGAACTGTATGGCTGCTACTCCTTTTTTGGCTTCTTCCAGTGCTGACATCAGATCCTCCTTGACAGCCGTTACTGTAAGGACTCTGCCACCATCAATCACCACTTTATCATCCTGCATTGCTGTGCCTGCATGGAACACTTCCAGCCCTAGGTCTTTTGCTTGAAGAAGTCCTACAAAAGGAAAGCAAAATGATGTCTCCTTATTTTAAATCAAATATAATGACGGTGACTATGCTGGACACTGAAGTTCTTTTATGCCTCAAAGCACAGGCCATGACACTACATGTTTCCTTACACTTCCTCATTCTATCCACTTCCAGAGTGAGAGGGTAGCTCATGTTCCATGCCCATTTTATTCCTGTTGAGTCTGCCCTCAAGAGCAACAGTTCATAGAATAAAAGAAATGCATTAGGACATCTAAAGAACCCACCTGCCATGGCAAGATGTTTCTGAAGAATTTGTCCAGTTTAATTTTAAATGACTCTAGAGACAAGGCTTTCCTTGAGCTACCATTTTACACCACAGAAGAACTCACAGTTTGGAATATTTTCTTGATATTCATCCTGCGTTAATTTTCATCCTATTACATCTAGCAGTACTGCTTAGACCACCCCAGACCATTCCTCCCCCTCCAGAGAATCTGCACCTTTCAAATACTTGTTGATGATTGCCTCCTCAGCTCTATTAGTTGTTTATGCAAGTTAAAAACCTTTAGTTCTTTTTAATACTTACTAGGAAAAAAAGCCTTTTTCGGGACAGGGTGGGGGGGAAGATTTGAAGATTTTACTATTGAGGTTATTTTTGAGGGGGAAATTAGCTGCTTTCCTCATTAGACAGAAAAATCCAACATAGCAACTCCCAATTTCACAATAGACTAGGAACTGCTTTTATCGGAAAAAGAAAGCTCTTCTACTTGCGGCAGCTGTAACGTGTGACATACCATGGAGGCTGCACTGTGCTAAAGGTCAGAGCTGAACTACAGCTGACTGAGCTTCATGTCTCTGCTTTCAAATTAACCCCTGGGCCTAATATTTTAAGAGACAACACACTTATTCTGGTGCATTTTTTACATTATACCGACAATGCAAGCAACAGGAAAACACACAGAAAACTCATGTTCTAGTTGTGATACACAAAGATACTCATTTCCTTCTGTTCTGATGAGCTTACATGTTGCAGGGAGTTAAACATATGCACACTAAGCAATGGATTACAAATAAAGTGTTGAACTTAGCCAGGGATTTCTTTGAATTCATGGTTTGGGGTTTTTTTTGTCGTTTTTGTCATGTGTAGGCTTATACACTCATGTATAGGAAATTAAAAACTTCTCCAGCGCACTGCAGAAATAAGCAAAATAGAGACACTAGCTGCACTGAAAGAAGATAAGGAAGGGAAATGGACCAGCACCATTCTCTGGCTGACACAGACACAATTCTTCCAGAAACACATGCTGCAGTGAGAGCTTTTTAACATGAGCTTGTCTCTGCACTGCTCAGGTCTGCTAGCTGGTGCTGAGGAAGGACTTGAAGACCAGATATGGTGTAGGAGAAGTCTCCTGTTAAAAAGATTAACAGATTCTAGTATTACACAGGCCAACAGGGAAAGGTTTCAGTTTTAGTGAGACATTGTCTGGCTGAGACAGCTGGATCACCTTACCTACAAGCCAGCAAATCTGAGCTAGTGTAAGAGAACACGTGAAAGAATGACACTCCAGTTTGGACTCTCCACAAAGTCTCTGAAGGAATTCCCAATACTTTAGAGTACTCAGTTCTCTAGAGCCCTCTTCTCATCCCAGCTCCAAACCCACAGTCTTGGTTCTTAGAAACTGCCTGCCCCGTGCTACTTTGGACAGGTGTGTAAACCTACATTTCCATGATGATGACTATCCCGCATGAACAAGTGCAAGGAGTGATGGATGAAGGCTTCTTTTCTTCCTGCATCTACTCAGGACCAGAAACAATATGGCTTTCTGCTAATTAAACTTTACTAGGCTCCTGCAGTTGTGCTGGTCTAGAATAAAAAAAGAAGTTACCTGTTACCTCCATTCCTTTGGCATAGTCTCCTGGATACCCTTCACTTGCCATAACCACAGACACAGCAGTACAATTTTCTGACCAAGCTGGCAAGCAGCTGGAGAGTTTACCATCAATTGTTGCTTGAATCACTTCATACAAATCATTTTTGAGCAGTGGAAGAATTACCTGCAAAAGTATGCTAAGCAATTAACTCGTTACATGTTATTTTGCTGAACTGCTGAAATATCAAAGATGTACAGTATTAAGCATTTCTTCAAGAATTAAAAAACTCTCATGAAGTTCAACTTAATGAGCAAAAACTGTGTTAAGAATATGGCATATTTTGCTACATTTGCAGATCTGTAAACAAATCAATTAATTTGCAGTAATTATTCCTTGAAATCAGAGCTAAGCAAATAATTTTTCTCTTTGATGGCTTACCTAAAAAATTTCTGGAAAAACAAACAAAAATGGCAAGCTTCAAACCAAAAGGAAAAACAAAACAAAAAAACAAGTGCCAAAAGATTTTGTATTAACATTTATTTCTGAACAGCTCATATCGACATTTTCTAAACAAACAAGTTTGACATTTCCAAGAATTTTGTTTTCAAGTTTTATTCAGTTGAAACTATTAATTGAATTAAAATAGTTTCAGGGGACCAAAAATGCATTTTTGGCAAACTTACTATCACTTGAAAAAATTCCAACCAATTCTCTTAGCAACAAGCAGAAAACAACAATAGCTTGTAGAGACCAAGTGTGAAATTACGTAGCACAAAAGTGTCTGGTCTCCTTTCTTACTCAGAAAACCAGAAATTGAGCAGTAACTTCAACTGCAAACTAAGTCAATGAACATTTCACAGAAGATAAATGCTAACAAATTTCTAACAGTTACTGCCACATTTTCTAATAGGCTTTTTGTAGATTTCCATATTTGTAGTAGCTATGACATACATTCTGTTAAATTATGTACAATTATATTTGTAGAAAGTTATTAAATTCTTGTGTAGAATAGAGGGCATATTTAGGCATCCAACATCTCTCACCTGGCACTGTGGGTCACCAAAATGGCAGCTGAAGTTTAAAATTTTCACATCATCTTTGATACACATTAATCCTGTTTGCAGCACACCTGAATAGAAAGCAGAATTACGCAAGCTAGCTCAGAACAGTTTTTGTACTTTTTTAAAAAGCAGTAAACTTAAATATGGGATAAATTTATGTAAACTCTGTATATGAATCTGCACTATGGGTTCTGCAAAGTGTTTGTATTCTATTGCTATCCTTTATGAATCCCATAAAAATCCAGCAAACTGAATAGCAGTACCATAACTAATGTATTCTGTGATTGATTGATGAAGATAATAGAAAAGGACTGAGCTGGTTCAGAAATTTCGAGTGTCGATTGAGTTTAAACACAGAGGGGCAGAGTCTGCCCTCTGTCAAAGCCCATTAATTATAGCCATTCTGAAGATGTAAAGAAGCCTTGAAAAATTCACCATCAGTTCTCAAAGAATACCTCCCATTTATTTGTGTTGCACTGTTGCTAGGCTCAGCAGAAATTTCAAGAAAGAATGTTAATGCTTATTTTTAAGCTTTTTTTATATATTTGAATTTTCAAGATTGTGAGAATTTATGAGGGATCAGACAACTATTTAATGACAGAAGACAGATTAAAAAAGTTAAAACTTTCTGTTTAAACACAGGTTGTCAACGTCACATAAAAATACCTTTAAATCAAACTCTAATGGGTTCTTAAGCAGCAGTTTTCTTATTTTGCCAGTCTGTAAGTTTCAATCATAACCTATGAAAATACCTTTTCATCAGTTTATGTGTACAGCAAAATTGACATTTACCACCATTTTACAGATAAAAATCTAATCCTTCCAACACTATGAATTGTCAAATGAAGTATCCACGGCATACCAATGCATAAGAGTTTCTGTGTTGTTATTTGCTGTTACAAGACAAAAGTCCCAACCAAATATTCACCGCCAAGAATTGTCATTAACAAACTTAAATCTAAAATTATTTAACCAAAACAGTAAACTAAAATCAGTCTGTAAAACCTGTGAAATACATATGTAAGCAGGGGCTGAACTGCTGCTTGCTATCAGCCAGCTAAAAGGAGAGAGCTGCCCTGGGCGTGGGTGTGCCCACTACAATTGTTTAGCTCTGCAAGATAATTAACTGTTATCTGTTGATATGTAAATACAGCTCATGCCAGGAGTAGGAGGGAATACGAGGTGTGGCTATGTAAATCAAATTCAGCCAGGGCTGATGGAGGATCAGTGTTGGAATGGAATATGGTGTATTGTAAATAATTTGGGGCTGTTGTGGGGACTTGTGCTTCAATATGCTTCCACATACTGTTTTTTGGAGTGGAAACAGGTATATATTGATTAACAGACTTTATGATGCCCATAGTATTGTTCATTATTTCCAGTAGCATCCTGTGGCCTCAGCCGATATAAGAACCCAGTGTGCTCAGCACCAGGCATTAATTTAGATCTCCCTAGACTCAGTACAGCATCTAATCCTCAAAACTCCTACAGAAGATCCATGTAACTCATAGACTGTGGCTACATCTACACTGCAGGGTTCTTGCACAAGAACTGTTTTGCTCAAGACTTCTTGTGCAAAAGCACGTTCACACTGCCATATGTTTTTGCACAAGAGATGTGCTTTTGCACAAGAGCGTCCATAGCAGTGTGGATGCTCTCTTGCACAAGACAGCTCTGATGGCCATTTTAGTGATAGGGATTTCTTGAGCAAGAAATTCCTGTTGCCCGTCCACACTGCCATGGACTGAGCTCTTGCGCAAAAGGGCTTATTCCTCATGGGGAGATGAATAACTCTTGCGTAAGAAGTCCTCTCTTCTGATGCTTTACTGTAAATTTACTTGTGCAAGAACGCATGTGCAGTGTAACTGCCCTGCAAGTTTTTGTGCAAGAACAACTGTTCTCGGGCAAAAGGCCTGTGGTGTAGATGTAGCCATATATGTTTAGTACAGCTGATAGAGAATTTTTTAAACAAGATGTTTTTCCCTCAGAAAATGCTGATTTGCAGAAATAAACTTTTCATGGGAAAAGGCCAGTTTTGATAAGTGTGCTCTTCAAAACATGTGTGAGTTTTGAGACTTCCCCCCCCTTTTGGAAATTTTGGAAAGAAAATATCCCAGTTTAAAAATAAATTTTAATTTAGAGATAGAAACTTGTCATTAGCTTTTCCCAATTTCACAATTAGACAGGGCTGAGAAAACCTAAGGATAGCAATTATCAGGGGGGAAAAATCCCTAAATGATCAAAATAAAACATCACACATCCACAAAAATGTTTGAGATTTTGTTTTGTTCTGATCCAGGACATTTTTTCAATACCTTAAACATTTTTGTGGGATGGGAAAACCATTTCTTAAGCAGCTCTGGTGCTCAGAATTCTAAGCCCCCTGACTGAATAATTTTCTCTAATCACTTGGTATGCACACATCCAGAAAAAAATAGCACATATGAGTACCTATGATCATGTCACATACACCACGATATAGTACAGAGGATGCTTTCCTGCATCTCTATCTGATCATATTTTACAAAAATTAGAAGTCAATGAAACATCATTTAAACTCAATCATATAAGCAATGGCTATCTGCAGAGACAAACATACTCCCTAACTTGACTTACATGCTTACACTGTTTGTGATTTACAAACTCCAATTAACAACTAATGCTATAAGCAAGTAACATATTCTTAGATACACACACTAAGTCTGTGTCTACATTAGCATGATTTTGCGCACTGAAGGTAATGGCATAAGGCTTGTGTTAATTCAAATTGAAAAATGCTGCTTACAACAAAGTCTTCTTCAAGGCTTACATCCTCCTTTCTTCATTAAACCTTCTAGTTTTCATAGCTTCAGGGAACTCATCCATTGGAATAGATTTTTTTACATCAAATTACTGCTCTTTTCCAATGTGTTGTGACAAACCCAAACTCTTCAAGCAGAAGATTAAAATTCTGATTCAATCTAGAATTAAAGCACTTAAATTCATGGAAGAAACTTGTTTTCTCCAAGCAACAAATGGAACTCCATAACAACATAAGTTTCAATATAACCTACTACACTTAGTAACTTAATGCTATTAAACAACATTAAACAGTTGGTGCCTCCATGGAAACATCTTATTTAGAAACAATACCAATATGGTCTCTCTTTTCTTCTCCTTCAATGTTATGAACAGCTGTTAAAACAGTAATTCATGATTCATTTACTTCTTGCTATTTTTTTCCTTACATGATATCCTAGTTTTCTGAAAATCAGAAGCTAAATACAATCTAAAGTCAGTGAGTCTTTTTGCTAGTCCACTGAAAGCTGGAATCCTTTGCCAGTCTAGGTGGTGGCTAAAGAGTTGAAATCACTAGGGCTACGTCTAGACTGGCCCCTTCTCTGGAAGAGGCATGCAAAGCAGGCAAGTCAGAATAGGGAAATCCACGGGGGATTTAAATATCCCCCACGGGATTTAAATAAACATGGCCGCCGCTTTTTTTCCGGCTTGGGGAAAAGCCGGAAAAGAACGTCTAGACTGGCGC